ACTTACTGACTACTCTGTGGTGAAGAAATATTTCCTAACACCCCTGTGATTCATTGTGTCTTTAGTTCCCAACGGGCCCCCTTTTGTTACTTTTTGTCCAATTTTCTGGCTTCTGTTTTTGTCCCCCTTTTGTAAATTTCCTCTCAGTTTTTTGTATGCGTTTCATGTCCCCCCTATCTTTTCCTGTCCCCCCAGTGCGTCAGGTTGTTTTCCCCTTTAAAACCTTCCTCGTGGGGAATCCCTTAGCTCGGGAAATAGTTTTGTTGAAAACCCTTTTGCATTTTTTCTCTAGTTTCTTTACGTGCTTGGCTAGGTTTTTTTGGGGTTCCAAACTGGTCCCGCATACCCAAAGGGGCCCCTAACTTTTATACGGTGTACGGGGTCCTGAACAAATTCCCTTTTTTAAGATGTGGGAAATGCTGTTTGGGGTTTTGCTAGGCCCCCATATGTTTCCCCAGCAGTTATTTGGTTGTTGTCCCGTTTCCCAGGAAAAATGTCCCTGGTGTTATACTCACCCAAGATTTTTTTCCTTTGGTAAAGGTTTGAAAGTCTCGCCCCCCTGGGACGTTTCCGTTGGGGCCCTTCTTTGCCCTTCCCCAATCTTCGACTTTGCATTTGGTGGGATTAAAAATCCAGGAGCCAATTGCTGGCCCATTTCTGTGTGTGGGGTGTGTGTGTGTGTGTGTGTGTGTTTTGGGTGTGTGTGTGTTTGTGTGGGGTTTTGGGGTGTGTGTGCCCCCACTTTAAGTTTTTCCTATGCTAATAAATCCCGGTAGATCCCAGTAATTCAAAGGGCTTCCAATCCCTTTTTAAACCCCTTTATGATTCTACTTCAAAAAAGTAGCTAGGTTTTGGTTGTGTGTGTGTGTGTTTGTGTGTGTGTGTGTGTGTGTGTTGGGTGTGTGTGTGTTTTGTGTCTGTGTGTCTGTGTGTTTTTGTGTCGTGTGTTTTTGTTGTGGTTTTGTGTATAGGGTTGTTTTGGGGTATGTGTGTGTGTTTTTGTGATGTGTGTGTTGTGTTGTGGTGCTCAAAAATTTGTGGTTGCGGGGGTTTTCGAGTCCTGGGCTCCTGGCCCCCCCTTTCACCGGTTGCTACTGGGCCCCTCTCTTCCCGTTCCATGAGCTTTTCCCCCCGTTTTAAAAACTGGGGAAATGGTTCCTGCCTCCACTACTTCTTTTTTTCTAGGCTATTCCACTCCCTTTAAAAATTATGCTGAAAAAATTTACTTCCTATTCTCTCTAAATCATTTGTGTCTTCAACTTCCAATTTTTGGCCTCTTTTTTTCTGTGCCCCCTTCCCGGGAACATCCTGTCCTTGTCCCCCTTTGTCTTTCCCCACGCAGAAATTTTATATGTCGTTATCATGTTCCCCTAAACCTTGTCCTCCAGTGTCGTCAGGCCGATTTTCCCCTTAAATCTTTCTTCATGGGGGACTTTCCCCCTTGGTTTTCGGGGAACAAAACCTTGTTGCAAACCTTTTTTTCTTTCTCTAGTTTTTTGACGTGCTTTATCAAGGGGGTTTCCCAAAACAGGTGCTGCATACTCCAGTATGGGCCTGACATCCCACGGTGTACAGTGTTTTGGGAATGTTTCCCTTTAAACCTTTAAAGGTTTTGTCGGAATGCTTTTTTCGGGGTTTCCCAGGGCCCTTTATGCGCAGCGTTATCTTTTTGATGTGTTTCATGACTTTGCTTTTTTGGCATTTTTAAAATTTCGAGAAGCCTTTTGCGGGGCCCAAAGGTGTCCAGTCTGTCCGGGTTTCTTTTTTGAAGTCTCCCTGGCCCTCTCAGTTTTAAATTTTCCCTCATTATCTTCACATTATCGGGCAAAAAGGGCCCATTTTCTGAGTCTACCCTTCCGTTTTGTCGTTAATATAAAAAAATTTTGCACGGGCCCTAGGCCGACCCTGTGGGACCCGCTCGTCACGGGTTTGCCCACTGTGTTTACATCTTACGTACCAGGGACTCGTTGTTGCCCCCCTGTCAGGT